CTGATATATATCTGTCTCTTATAAACATCTAGATGTGTATAAGAGTATAGAATGGAATCAATGCTCTTTTGGTTATTAGGAATGTTTGTATTATTGTAATAAAGACATTGACTAATCCTTCTGAATCATTTCTTTTTTCTATACATTACATGATCTTTCTTGTAGACTGAGGCTCCATATGTTATCAAGCACAATGCCGTTTCTCGCTGTTCATCATAAGTACCCGGAGCAATTAGACAGGAATGTAGTGGTGTTAGTCCCACAAAGATACGACCTACAAAATGATACTCAATGTCAGAACACATGAAAACTAATTACTGTATATGACATAAAAGTAAACCGAGATGAAATAATGCAGTGGCGGATCCAGGAATTTGAAATAGAGGGGCCCAGGACAGATGGAGGGTATACCACCTCAGCCCCACCATGGTTATGGCTAAAATAAGAAAATTTACAATTATGGTACCTCTAGATAGTTGGAAGTGAAACTCTCAGACTTAAAATTTGAAAATTTTCTTTTTTTCTCTAATTTTTGAAAAATTTAAAGGGGGGGTGGCTGGGCCAGTGTAATATATAATATTATTCTGAATGATCACTTACTGTAACTGTATTAATAATATTAAAACAATGATTATAGAAACAACAGTAATAACAACAACAATAATGACCAATATAATTAATCATTACAGCCTTGTCTAAATTGATTGTGCAGGGTCCTCATATAGTGGTGACACCAAGAGGTAATCACTTTTTCCAAAGAGTGCACTGTTTAGCAAAAAATAATAATAATGAATAATTATAAGACCTATAAAGCGCAAATACTGTATCCACTGCAGTAGCGCTCAAGGTGCTACGGAAGGAGAAACCAAAATTACATTGAACCTTAAATCTGTATCAGAAAAAGAAACACCACACACATCATTATTGCTTTTATGCCTTTTTGCTTGGAATTTTGAGACCTCTTTTATCCCATTTTTACCAATTTAACTTTTACAATTTTAACCTTTATATTTTAACATTTTATGATGTAATGTATGTTTTGTGTATTTTAGTAGGTGATTGCATCATTAAGTATATATATATATACATATATACATCCTCACGCATCACCCACCAAACCTCCTTCATTTAATAATCAGAAATCATCAATTCGTACCAGTAAGAACCTTCCAATAGCCACACATTTCAATTCTCCTAATAATAACATCAATGATTTGACATGTGTACTCATAGCAAATAATTTTAACTAACGACACAATCACACTCCAAGTCACTAACCACAAAATTCACCCCTCTCGACTCATATGTGACTCGACTACCAATGTACTCATAGCCAATAATTTTATTATCTAATCTTTTATGCTGTAATATACAAAGTAAAATACGACAGCGATCAAAGTGGTCAAGTATTGAGATAGTTTTGTTGAAGATTAAACAATTCTTAACTAAATGTACATAGTAGAATAATATGGTGAGAAGCAAAACTAACTACACTATTGGAAGGTTCTTACTGGTGCGGATTGATGATTTGCGATTATTAAATCTACTTTTAAAAGAACTTCCAGTTTCACCGATGTAGGTACCATGATCACATGCATCACCAATTATGATGTACGTTGGTAGTCGAGTCACATGTGAGTCAAGAGGGGTGAATTTTGTGGTTAGTGACTTGGAGTGTGATTGTCTCGTTAGTGATATGTGTGCATGTTTGACAGCGAGGCTTATTATATTTAATATTGCTAGTGAAATCCCTCCTCACGCATCACCACTAAACCTCATTCATTTAATAATCAGAAATCATCAATTCGTACCAGTAAGAACCTTCCAATAGCCACACATTTCAATTCTCCTAATAATAACATCAATGATTTGAGATGTGTACTCATAGCCAATAATTTTAAATCTCTCAACGATCACTGCATTTCCAAACTCAAACTTATACTTGAACACAAAACCCACACCATAGGCCTCAATAAAGATACCACTATCTCAATACATGACTGCTTTGATCTCTGTCGGTTTTTACTTTGTATATTACAGCGTAAAAGATTAGATAATTGGCCTATAATCAATACTATTGTATTGTTTATATTGTACAGTATACAACTGCAACAGCCAATCTTGTGCATTCAGTAAAGCTGATGAAGGCCAGAGGACTGGTCAAAAATTTCTTTCGAAAATAAATACAGTGTTCAATAGTCTATATGCCTTGTCATAATTTTTTGTTTCAACAACTGATATATATCAAAACCAAAAAAATAAGAGTTCCAAAGTCAAGATGTGAGGTAACAAATACATGTATATTGCACAAGTGATATGTTGAGGAGCTGGTGATTTTGGGAATGTGCTAACTCAAAGTCATTGAAGAATCAAGCGTAATACCCAAATTCTATACATGAGATACTTGATCGATCTGACATTCCCCCATGTTGATGTGGAGGTCTTGGCATATTTTCCTTTGTTGAGGGAAACAAGACGATGAATTCTGTCTTGTGCTCATTTACTTTTAGAAGTTTTCGGACATCCAAGTTTTCAACTCAGAAATACAATTTCTGAGAGATTCAATCTTCACATCAAATTCTTCAGCAAGTTTAAAAGAAATATAGATCTGTCTATCATCAGCATAAATATGATAAGAAAGGTTAAAATTTAACAAAAACTACTGAGGTCCAAAAATTGAACCCTGAGGAATGGAATAGTTCAAAATGAAAAAGTCTGACATGGAGTTGTCAAAGAAAATTCTTTGTGGACACACCAGTAGCTACAACCAGTTTAGCTGACTTAGGTTTGTGATTGAATTTGATGATATTAACTTTATTTACCGTCTATGTATACAAAAAGGTTTCCCTTGTTTATTTTGCTTGCAGACTTTTCCAATGCACATGTCAATGCTGATGTATACATATGCTGTGCCAAATAACTGATAATAGTTTCATCCTCCTAAAAGACAAACATAAAATAAGGCAAAGGATTACAAACATACCAACAACACACAGAACTAATCACAATAACATGTCATGTCATTAGCTGCACATATTTCATAATTTTATACATAAAGATTACATATTTCAATGTTTTTTAATGATGATTTTCAAGTAAAGCCATGCATACAACATAATAATTAAAAAGACAACTTCACTTCTTCTAAGACACGATTTGAATTTATATTTTCAAGCAAGACTAATTGTGATACAGTATAACATTTTCTTGTCAACAATATAGCCAGTAAATAGTATAAATTAATCTATAAACATGATTATCCCTCACATTAAAAAAAATTCTTATTTATATATTATATTTTGAAATGATGATCATAGGCTGGCTACTCAGTTTTAAATAAAACAATAAAAAATCTCACCGCTAGTCCAGAATGAAATAATTAACTATAATTTACTGAGTTAATTAGTTTATACTGGTATATTATATGTTTTGTTTTTTTAAATAACATACAATGCTATTGAATTTCATTTACCGTGTTTTCAAGTTCTATATTCCCTTCTGTTGCTTTTTCAACCATCAGTAGCATCAAGTCCTCTGGTGCCGGTGGTACACGTGTCATAGCATATGTTAATGGTGTTTCCTATAAAACAAACATAAAAATAACAACATACTGTACATGCATTATCAACATTCAAATCGTTGGTAGGTGTGACTCATTATTCACAAAATTGTAAGCAATCTATATAGGGTATAAAGACACACATGAAAACATTCCTAATTCACACCTTCTAATATTCAGTGTAAATTAGTGTTGAGGGGATCAGTTTAAACCAGGCGATCAGAAAATGCAAGTGCAGTAATCTCAAAAATATATGCTGGCAAGGCCAACTAACACTTTTAATGCTGTTTCCCCACACACAAAATGTTTGCTAGGGTTTTGTGGTCAATCGTGATCCACCATAGAAGTACAACTTTTTAGGAAATGTTTAAAAAAAATCTTACTCTACCGTAGTAATGGGAAAAAAACAGTTTACTGCAGCAGAATTGTAAGAGAGTTGTACCTTTGCTGTGAAATTGATGTGGATATGTTGTTAACTCTTGCTCATTTATATTCACTGCACTGATTTGTATTGGCCACAATATCTTGGCAATGACAAGCCAAGATTTGTTACGGCGCTTTTTTGGCGATTGTCTTTTCCATTTTAGCAAAAACAGTTTGGTTTGGCTGGGAATCAGTTGTGAGGATAAAGAACATATTGGAAGGGAACTGGGTAGGGTGGAGAAAGAATGTAAATTTGTCTGTGCAAACATTGAAATCACTGTACAAAGAACAGTTGCACAGATGGACCATTATAAGCACTGAATCCTCCTAGCTGAGGATATTACACAAGCCGTGGCCTACACAAGCCTCACACAGCT